ACATTTCTTTGTGAGTGGAATCCTAATTACTCACTTGTTAGTGAGCAAAGTTTCACATAACGTATCAGACAACGACGACAACACTGTCATGTAACTATTGACGAATCAGATTTGAAATCATGTAAGTGTGCCCGCGTGTGACTCTCGCATTCACTTGCCAAAAATGTATGTTTAGTTCAAATTTGCTTAACCCACATGCTTTACATACACAATAACTACTAGTTGCCTATGTAACTGTTCTAGTTCTAGGTTCTGGTTCCTTTAATGTCTGAAGTAAATTTTGTTTTCTAGACTGGTAATAATCTCGGCAAACGTTGGGCGATCGTATGAGTTTTCAGACCAGCCAACCTCGGTAAGTTTCTCAAGATATTCAGGCCACTGGTATGTGAATGGAGGGCGTACACCATTGATGATACACATTGACGCCTTGATATCCGTCTCGTTGTGGAAGGGCACTTTGTGCTCCATTAGTTCCCAAACCACCATGAAGAATGAGAAAACGTCGCACATCATATTCACCTTTTTGCCATCTGCAATCTCGGGAGCCATCCAGCGATATGTGCCTGCTAATGTTGGTTTTGCTGTTGTGTTTGGCATGGGTCGCGACACTCCAAAGTCACAAATCTGCACTTCCATGTCGTCGGTAAAGAGGATGTTACTCGATTTCAAATCGCGGTGGGCAATTCCAAGTTTGTGAAGGTGGGCCATGCCATAAGCAGTTTGTCTTGCCCACCTGATGCTCTGGTCAAATGTCGGATCCTTCTGATCCTTGTGCAGGTATTGGTACAATGACCCATTCTTGGCAAGAGCAATTACAATCGTTGTGTCTGGATACTCATGAAAAAAACCGAAAAAAGATATGATATTCGGGTGTTCACCCAATTCAGCTAGAATCTTTGCATCGCAGTGGTCGGGAGAAAGTCGCACTTTTTTCAGTGCAACATCGATTCCTTTTGACTTCCACGTTCCACGATAAACCACACCACCTCCGCCTTCCCCCAGTAGGTCGCCATAATGAACATCGTTCTTTTCGATCTCAAGAGGAACTTGCTTCTTTTTTGCCTCACTCTAGAAGATTTATAATATCGCATACAAGGATGACACAGTCGTGCCTATAAAAAGTGGCTAACTGACTGTATAATGAAAAGCACTTGAAAGTGCATAACCCTCGCCACTTTATTCTTTATTCAGCCAATGGCTACTAGCTACACTACGTCAGTTTTTCCCCAATGCGAGTTGAATACTAGTTACTACTACAGCAAAGTGAAAAGCACTGGTCTTGACAACCCTAGCTTCACTGAGCGGATTTACTGGGGCGTGTGCTGCTCTCACTTCACCGGCAATCTCGATTCTACTCAACTGTACCATCAATACAGCCAGACCAGCAAATCTTCTCCACACACGCAAAGCACCTAGCATCTAAGCATAATACTTCGCGATCTCTATTTGACGCACACCCACCTTGGCAGCCGTCCGTTTCACCAGCTTCCCCCGGGCTTCTCCGCTCCAGAATCTTATTGGGCGAGCGGAGCGAGCCCACCTAGTCGTGTCTTCGGCTCGAATTTCTATCTATATTATATAACTAGTGGAAATGCTTGGCATTCTCTGGGCGAGCAGAGCGAGAACGGAAGTATAATCATACAACCATCATCATTACTAGCGATAATATAGCTACGTACCTACAGGTAAAATGTTTCAGCAAGTAACAGAAGTTATTATGGTGTTGACATAATATTAGGTTGAGTAAGGCAGCTTGCGCATACGTAGCTAGTGAAACTAGACCAAAAGAAAGTAGCAACGGAAAGGTAATGTGCCCACACCCCCTCTCCATCTCTTAATTAATGTGCTAGTGTCGTGTGCAAACCCTCGCGGTATTATATACTAATAGCCCAGTTGCGCGTTAGGCAAATGAAAATTTTAATCACGTGTGACGTCATTGCCGGTCCTGGCCAGTTTTCAAAGTCGCGCGAGGCGCGCGCAGTACCGTATATTCACATTTAGAGAGCGCAAGCTAATATTGAAATCTCTAGCGTCTCTGCCGGTCTTTGTCCGAAGCCGAAACGACGAACGGTCGAGGAGTTACACCTACAAGGCACTAGTTTCGCCATTATGACTTGGGGTGAGAGACCTACTGAGCTCTCTTCTCTCTCCCCTTTCTCTCATTCGTTTAGCTCTTGGCCCTTTCTTTCTTGGAGAAGCAAAGCGCTTGCCTAGAGTAGTGCTGGGTTCATTGCTGCAGTCTCCATGGAAAGTGTCGACAACAAACTCTGGTACTCTCCTTGACAACTTCCTCACAAATACCAAACACTTCCAGCCACCGCGCTCTTCTTTCTGTACCTTTTGGTATCCAGTGAAAGGTTATATTCGAATCTTTTGCCTTGGTGTTGCCACAAACCACTAATGTGTGACCTTCACACGAGTGTAACTCCTCGACCGAGATTTCAATATTAGCTTGCGCTCTCTAATAAATATGAACATGCGGTACTGCGCGCGCCTCGCGAGACTTTGAAAACGGGCGATTGCAATACATTTTCCTGCCAGCAACCGGTAATGACGTCACGGGTTGATTGACTCGTAGGCGAATGCATGGCATTTTTGGCGAGAGGAAGCGAGCTTACAAATGGGGTCTAATCGGTGAGTCACTCTTGTGAGTGCACAAAACAGTGAGATACATTGCACAGGACCAAGTATAGGCCGAAACAACCTTTCAGACCCGAGCGCATTAGACAATTCGAGTCGAGTCAAAAACAGTCGGACGACAGCGAATAATCCGGCAATCTGAATGGTCTTGCAGGAATAGGGAACAGGTGGGTGAAGTGGCAATGCACCAGCCCTTCTCCCGCGCGCGGATTGAGAAGGCGTGGCTCCGCTAGGCTACGTACGTACGTACGTACGCGCGCGCGAACTTCACAGGAGAGGGCGGGGCGTGATCGCCGGGCCGGCCGGGCATGCGCAGTTCGGCGACGCTCGACGTACGGTACGGTGACATATATAAGATATATATATACTAGTAGGCGAATGCATGGCATTTTTGGCGAGCGGAAGCGCACTTACAATTGGGGTCTAATCGTATGAGTCACTCTTGTGTGTGCACAAAACAGTGAGATACATTGCACAGGACCAAGTAGGCCGAAACGACCCGAGCGCAGTAGACAATTCGAGTCGAGTCAAAAACAGTCAGACGACAGCGCGAATCAGGCATAATCCGGCAATCTGATTGGTCTTGCAGGAATAGGGAACAAGTGGCAATGTAGAAAAATCTCTCGCTGGACTGTGCAGCAATACTCGATAGCTTCGGAGGTGTTGCGTTTCCCCTGATTCCGCTCGATTCAGGCAGCATTATGAAAATGTTGAAATCCCTTTCGGATAAAAAGAAGCGCGTAATGCTGGAGCATGCGCAGTTGGACGACGTACGGGTACATATATATAATTATATATATAGAAAAATCGCGCCGTTCGGACCACTAGGTTAGCTCGCTTCCGCTCGCCAATAATTATAATTATATATAGAAAAATCGCGCCGTTCGAACCACTAGGTTAGCTCGCTTCCGCTCGCCAATAATGAAAAGCACTGAAGTGCAAACCCTCGGCGCACTGTGACGCGTACGCGTAAGTAAACGCATGCGCTGTACCACTAATTGATGGGCTGGGCTTAGTTTTAGCTGTTACTCGTGGTCTCTTGCCAGCTCGCGCAGAGTCTGACGCGGGCTAACTACACTACTAGATAGCATGCGAGAGGCGATACACGCCCTGCGTTGCATCTTCTGGTGCCTCCGAGGTACGCTGAGCACGCGGATCGATCATGCCGTAGTAAGCCGTCGTATATTTGCATATTGGCTTTTTCGCGCTCTAGCTTTGCAACGGAGCATTTTCAGAGAAAACCCCACAAATTTTCTGACCTTCGTTGCCCGTTGAGTAGGTAGTATCGTTTGTGAGACGAAAAAACATTGGGGAAGTGAGATGTCGAGTAACAGACAGACACCCAAGTACCGTAACCCTCGCTGCGCATGCGCGCCGAGGGTTAATTATACGTGCAACTGGGCTATTGATGGGCTGGTGGTAGTATAGCTCGCGGAGAGTCTGACACGGGCTAGTAAATAGCATGCAGGAGTCGATACACGCCCTTCGTTGTGACTTCTTAGGCCTTCAAGATACACAGAGCAAGCGGGTCCGCTCGAAATATAACCGCATGCCCATTTTCCGCAGCGATAAATGGCCGACTACCGTACAATGCTGGAAGGGCGCTCTAGCTTTGCAACGAAGCATTTTCAGATAAAACCGCACAAAACTTCCGTCCTTCATTGCCCGTTAAGTAGGTCGTATCGTTTGTGAGACGAACAAACATTCGAGAAGTGAGATGTAGAGTAACAGACAGACACACCCTCGCTGCGCATGCGCGCCGAGGGTAATAATAGGAAGATCGATGACGTCAAAAGGGTTCAAGTTATCATAACAAAGAGCAAACTAATGAAAACGGAATTCCTTTGCCGGTGATCCTCCCCACACAATTAGAGAAAAGGGAATTGGGGAAAGACTACATGAAAACATAATAGTAGCTACCACCCAATCCACCCTCAAAGAAGGCTGCCTTAGCCTTGGATTTGCTCATGTGGCAGGAATATGCTAGTTATACAGTTGGAGCCTCTTGACTCCGCCTTTCTATACACTAGTAGAAAGGTGTATGAAAAGTGTAAGGTGAATACTCTCATGGTTTACCCCCATAGTGCACAAACACTACAGACTTAGGGAGAGATTCTTCAGTGACAGTGACAGAAGTATATACCTTTCAATATGACTGAGTAAATTTGTGTATTTAGATTCTTCAGTGATAAAGTACCTTTCCCATGACTGAGTAAACTTGCGTATTTTGGGTACATACTTACCCAAACACTATCAACTCCACTATCAGGGATACTACTATAATAGTACCTGCCTTGTGGTGACCATCATTGTTCTTACTATCTAGAACATGCATGCAAGTCACATACCTGTGCAGGAGGTTTTTTCAAATTTCTCGGTTTGGGAACTGGTACCTGGATATTAGACACATAAGTTACTTTACAATAACAAACATGCTTTATCTATATTCTCAGAGTCTAAATTTTTTAATATTATACCACCAAACATTTCGACTGCAGCTGCAGCTACAAACATGCTGTTGCGGTGATGCACTTTGAGGAGGAGTGAGTATGATATGCTGTGGACCATTGCCCAAACAACATAGTCAGTTTTGAAAGAATTATTACAGACCTTTTGCGGTGCTGGTTTTGGAGTCCTGATTTGCCTTCTTTCCTGATTTGGTGGCTTTTCCTGCATTCATGAAACGCACTAAAGTGCAAACCCTCGGCGCACTGCGCATGTGTGGTACTGCTAATTGATGGGTTGGGCCAAGAGTATGCGTTTACTCGTTGTCTCCATGCTAGTAGCTCGCAGAGAGTCCGACACTGGCTAGCAACACAAGTAGATAGCATGCGGGGAGTCAACACACGCCCTTAGTTGTGACTTCTTGAGCCTCCAAGATACACAGAGCGAGCGGATCAGGTCGCGGTAAGCCCAGTGCAATAATTATTATGCAAATGGTTTTTCGCTTGTTTTCACGGCATATCTCTCGAACACAGTCATTTCCGGAAAATCTCATTTTCATGTTTCAGGCTCGCGTAATTTTGAAGCCACTGTATCGCCTCCTAGACTGTAATAAGCATCGACACACAGACAGACAAACCAACCATGTGCACTGAGGGTGATCATTGTAAGAAAGTCGTCATCTGCACTCATTTACGATTTTGAGCATTCGTAGAAGCTCTTTGTTGGTACAGCACAGGTCAATTATTACACAATATGCACACAAAAGAAAGACTGCAGTGATATCTCTTCTAAATCTACTGGAAGTGAAAGTGGACACCCATGTTTTGCATAGCACTATAATTGTGTGTCCCATTGACACTCTACACCAGACAACCCCTTCCTACTACAACATTCCAAAAACTGGGCCACCCATGGTACGAACTATGGAATGTCTTTTCAAGTGTTTGTAAGCCACTACAAAGAGCAAACAGATGTCAAGTTGAAGCTTTCTTGTCCCCTTGCAAAGTTGCCCAGGCCATTGGCAAGTTGTAGTGGATTTTGCTAAAAGCCAAGTAACATTTGGTTCCCCTACAAGCCTGCTTTCTCATTTTTCAGTTGCTCAGTATATAAAACAATCACTTTTCCTGTGTTCCTGAAAGGTTGCCTTATGCCGTTCGTTGCTAAGCTTTGCTTGTGGCAAATTAATAGTCTAGTAACTGAAACTCTCTAAAAGCCCGAACTACGAATCAATTTTTGTGCCTTTGAAAGGTTGTCTCAAGCCATTGGTACTGCTTTTGGCAAATGTCGCTAGTATAGTAACTACTAAAAGTCGCACCTCATGTCTGGTATATTTAAACTGACTGGTTCTGGGTTTTCTTCACCAGCACAAGCTTGTTCTTCCCTGTTACTGTGTATTTCCTATTATATATAAAAACACATGGTGGTGAAACACTGACCCTATGCTGTCCGAAATGAAGGAGGATGCAGGAATGTTACATCATGAAAAACATGATTTTGAATTTTCTATGGCTGACCTATGAATATCTAGGCCACACAAATACCTCACACAAAATTCCATAATTATACCTCATCCACCTTTTGTTGCAGTTCCTCTGTGAGCTGTGTTATGTGATGATGCATGTCAGACACCAACTCATCTTTTTCGGCAATCTGAGATTATTTGTGCACGTTATATACAGATATACAGCTAAAATATTATATCTACATACCCGTCGAGTCAGTTCTTCAAGCTGCTGTTGCCCTTCCAGTAATTGTTGTTCTTTAGCTTCTAAGCGTTGTTCTTTTTCATTGAGCTGCACAGTTTAAATAATTCATTTTGCTAACATGCCATTGTATGATGACTGAGAGTAAGATCAAAGGAATTCCAGCCAGTCCAAACAATGTAGATGCGTAGTGAGCGCTTCCTGCTCGGTCTACGGGTAGTTAGAACATAAAGAGGCCATACAATTTCCCTATACTTTAGCTGTATGTCGCCCTCGTGCCCTATCAAAACTGGCCACTCAGCCCTCGTGCCCTATCAAAACTGGCCACTCGTGTACAACCAGTAGACCACGCGCCGCCATCGTATAACCTATACATGTATATAGCTATAGCCACCATTGAAAACACTCACTTTTCAGATTATTAACTGGAGCTCTTAAAATACCTTTCTCCACAGTTGCTGCTGGGTTTCAGTTAGCTCCCTGTCCTTAGCCTCTAACAACTCAGTCTCCTGCAGTCATTAAAACAATCCCATGTGCACATTAAGTAGGGTATTACCACAGTTTATACAGTTAGGTATGTATTGTCCTACCAACTCACTCTCTGTCTTATCTCCTCAATCCGCTGCTCCTCTCTAACGACAGCCTCCTGTGATCTTATAAGCGCTGCTTCCTTTCGTTCCAGCTCTTGGCTGAGTGTCAGCTTCTCCCTTGCGATAATCTGCAACTTTTGCTGCAGTTCTTGCACATCAGTCTGAAGATCTTCCTGCAGCAGTAGAGTACATAATTATTATAATTATAGCTGCATAGTGGTTAAAAACCTCACCTGGCTTTTGGGGAGCGTCCTTAGAGCTCGCATAAGTTCCAGCTTGTTCATGTCTACTGGTTCATCTCTCACTTCTGCCCTAGCCTCCTCCAACATGCGCAACACCTCACGAATACTTGGCCGGTCTTCAGGGAAGTCGAGACACCCTTCAATCATCTGGATGAGAGGATGCTTCTTCCGAAGTTGACTGTAGATCATATTCATGTACTCGATCCGTCGCTCTAACTCAGTTCGACCAACAATTTGTCTTCTCTCGTCACGATAAATTGGAGCTAGCAGGTCACAGGGAAAGGTTTGACTTATTGTGAACATAGCTACAACCCCAAAAGAAAATACGTCGACACTTGGACCATATCTCGATTTCTTCTCTTGTTCTTCGTTGTCCCCTGGCTTGTTTTCCAGAGCCTCTGGAGGCATGTAGACACCAGCCCCTGGTGCCTTTGTCATGGTGGCTGCAACTCTCATACGAGGCACGATGCGAGCCACGCCCAGGTCCGCTATCTTGGCCACCATGCCTGCGCTCAGGAGAACATTTCTTGCTGATAAATCGCGGTGGATGACGGGCGGCGATCGCTCGTGAAGGTAGGCTAGGCCTCCAGCAACGTTATGCAGAATTGTGCACTTGAGACTCAACGGAAAAAATGGCTTTGGTGCATGCGGCAGAGGCGGAGGGTCCATATCTGGGTCCAGTAAATCATGAAGGTTTGTTAGCATTCGCTCCATGATGAGTGCCGGCAGTCGCGAGCCGCGGAAGAAAGCGACGCCCAGAAACTGGACGATGTTCGGGTGGCGGAGGGAGCTCATCAGCTGACATTCCCTCACGAACTGAGCCGTAACCCTATGCAGGTCGGCAGCTTGGAATTCATGGCGGTCCTGAAAGAAGTCGTGGATCGTTTTGGAGGCGCAAATGGCTCCTGGTATAGCCACCTCCTCCACACTTCCGTAGGCTCCGGCGCCGATCATGACGCCTGTTGGTCGCACGTTGGAGAGCACGAAAGGCCGCAGCTCAGGATAATCGCGAAGAAAGAGTTCAGCAGCCATCACGAAAGAGCCTTGCGACAGGAACGACGCCGTCGAGGCTGGACGGCGGTGTCGCGCGCCAGTTACGTAAGTGGGGGTCTGGCCTGGGTGTGGGTTTTTCTTGGCACTGGATTTGGGAGGGTCCAATCAGATTGCAGGATTTCGCTTGTCGCGCAAGTAGCATGTGACGCATAGAATTCTAACGGGGCCAGTTACTGTTTCTAGGAAAACTCGCACGGACACTCCGCTGGGTTGCTAGGGATATTCCCAGGGTGCGCAAAGCACTTGCTAACAGTTTCCGCATGCGCGAAGGTACTCTGACATATCGTAATAACCGCGAAGGTAGCTGCGTGTTTATAGTTAGCACGTTGTGAACCAAAACTCAGTGGCCGCGCGCGCGTACACGCGTGAGCATACTAGAGCTGGAGATAGCCAGTTTATAACACTTTCCGATACCGTCTGTAGTTGCAGTGGTGCGGTGACGCTCCTGGTATCTTTTGCAAGCTCTGTCTTGAGAAAGTGATGCCAAAAGTTGATGTACGTAAGCTGTCTTTTATGAGTCTGGGTATGGAGGTCATTAGTAAGCTAGGGCAGGTTCGTTTTGAGTGGTCTGCTTTGACGTGTAAAGGCGCGCGTGCGCAAGCGCGTGATTTTCGAATTACGATAGGGGCCGTAAGCGCGGGAGCACGTGAGGGTCTGGGAACGAAACTTGACGTGTAGAGCCATCATTGTGCTGCCTCATGTGACTGCATAAAATTGACAAGCTTCACCAGTTATAGCTAATGAAAATGTCTTGAAATGGATTGCTCAAAACATGAAAAAGTGGGGGTCATTACACAGCTAAGGTACATAAAGATACATGGCTATAATTATGACCCCATTCCTATATCTCTGTCCGATAGTATTTTCCTATGAATCAAAGATTATCATGTAGCCTTGTGTATAGTTTGTATGGGACCAGACCCTCTTAGCTTGGGGATTGCCTTTTGAGGGCTCTTCAGTCCATCTCCAGATGCTTCCTTTCCTGGGCTATACCCTCTCCACTTTCGGTCACATTCTGTAGTATTAGCTATGATTATCATTTTGCAGTGCCAGCCATGCAACTGGAATGAATTCTATCTATGACACACATTCCTGATTTCTGCGCCACCCTCCCAGGAGCACAAGAGTGTGGGAATAATAATGCTGGTAGACAAACAGACAGGCACAAAAATTGATCATGTATCCTGTTTGTCATACCAAGGCCCTGGGCCATACCAAAAATCATGATGATGATCTCACCACCGTGGTGAGATCATCATCATGATTTTATTAATAATATTCAAAATTGCTATGGCCCAGGGCCTTGGTACAACAAACAGGATAAGGCATGTGCATGATCAGCTATATGTGACAGTTTTTGTGCATGACTGCCTGCCTATAATATTTCTGCAACCAAGTATAGAAAAACGCCAGCTGCAGCAAAACCAGCTGTGGTAGGTAAATTTGAATGCACTGGTCTGCAACTGTTAGCTATGTAGCTACTGCTTGCATGATTCTCACTGCACATAGCTGTTAAAGGTGATAATAACAGGCAAGACAACATGCTATATTGTTAATGTCTAAAGTCCATTTTGTTTTCAAGGCTGGTTATGATATCAAAAAAGGTAGGGCGACGGTATGGATTTTCAGACCAGCCATCGTTAGTGATCTTAGCAAGATATCCAGGCCATTCGAATGTGAATCCTGGGCGTTTCCCTTGAATTATCTGCATCGATGCTACAATGTCTGTCTCGTTGTAGAAAGGTACTTTGTGTTCCATTACTTCCCAAACCACCATGGAAAATGAGAACACATCGCACATCATATTGATTTTCTTTCCTAGCGCAACCTCAGGAGCCATCCAGCGCCAGGTTCCTGCCATTTTTGATATTGCTGTTGTGTTTGGTATCGAGCGTGACAGACCAAAGTCACAAATCTGCACCTCCATGTCGTCGGTAAAGAGGATGTTACTCGATTTCAAATCGCGGTGAGCAATTCCAAGTTTGTGAATGTGTGCCATTCCATATGAAATCTGTCTCGCCCACTTTAGACTCTGTTCCAATGTAGGGACTTTAAGATCCTTGTGCAGGTATTGGTATAATGACCCGTTTTTAGCAAGGGCAGTGACAATTATGGTGTCAGGATGCTCATGAACAAAGCCAAAAAATCTTATTATGTTAGGGTGTTCACCCAACTCTGCTAATATCTTTGCATCACAATGGTCTAGAGCAAGCTGTACTTTTTTTATTGCAACAGGTAAGCCTTTTGACTTCCACGTTCCATTAAAAACAGTGCCACCTCCCCCTTCCCCTAATAAGTCTCCAAAATCGATATCTGCTTTTTCAATTTTGAGGGCAGTTCTCTTTAGCACCCCTTTCTAGAGAACAATAATGAACAAAAATGTGTATAGTAAGAAGAGACATGCCGCCATGCGTAGAAAAGAGATGAATAAGAAAGAAAATTGTATAGGCATTATATGCCCCACAACATCCCTGCTCTGATTTTAAGTCAATATATGGGTTAGTAATGCAAAACTTCACAAATTTCGCACTAAAATTTGCTCTCCAATAATCCAGGTCATAACCAGTTGAGACATACCTGCGCAAACTTTCTTGGTTTCGGAACTGGTCTCTGGAAATGGGTTTCTAATTATTAATACACTAAACGTGCAGATGTCAGTGTATGGATAGAATACCTTCAGCGGTGAGTCTGGATATAACTGCGGAGTCGAAACGGATACTTCGTCCCTGTGGAGACCTGGATCATTCTGCATCATAGTTATGGAACACCATATTTAGGAGTGTTGTTTGTTAAATACCTCTTGTACTTCAAAAATTCCTTCATCGTGACAACTATCCTCTTCTTCATGGTCAGGAAGTTTCTTCTGCAACACAAAGTGATTAGTAAAGCAAAAATAGTCCATTTCAAAACACAAGGGCGTAGAAGTAAAGCCCTAGTTGAAACTCTTGTCTCAATTAACTACTATGGGCAGGCAGCATCATCTAACCTCTTCCTCCTTTTGCTGTAGTTCCAATGTTAGCTGCATTATATGATGGTGCATATCTAAAACTAACTCATCTTTCTCAGCAATCTAGAATAATATATATAATTCTTCACAAAAGGATAAATACAAATTCATTAAAAAACCTGCTCGTTCAGTGTTTGAAGTTGGTGCTGTACGTGTTAATTCTCCTTCCTTCTTCTCCAAGAGTGTTTCTTTCTCATGTATCTAAAAAAGTAAGGCAGAAACTTTACTACCTTTTGTGGCTACAGAAATCGAGTCATATAGTGTATGGGTTATGCACAAACACACACACATGCCCTTTCAAAAATTAAAACATTTCTCAGAGTTCTGTATAGGATCTCAGTAGTGGTATATATTATATAGTAATCAAAACATCTGCTGGCTTGTCTCAATATAATATTCATAACAGCTATAATATAGGTGGGTATTGCCCTTCATATGCATTGACTTTGTATAGGCCTGCATCCATCACAGCCTTACCCAACTAAGTTGTTGTTCCATTTCGTGGGTATGCTGCTGCTCTTTCCTGACAATCTCTACTGCTTGTGTTTCCTTCTGCAGTTGTTCTGCCTGCAATTCTCTGGTAAGGTCTCCAATTATCGACTCACTCTCCCTCAGTTGTTGTTCTAGCTCATGGACTCTGGCAGAAGTTGTCTCCATTGTGGTCACCTCTGGGGTCTGCTGGAGGCTGTCTCGGTAGGCAGCACTCTCTTTCAGGGCAATCAGGCGAGAGCACAGCTGCTCGGCTGTCGGTCGCTGACCTTCCTTGTCTTTGAGGCAGTCTAGAGCTACCTCCAGGAGAGGGTGTGTGGGGGAGATGAGATCCAGGTGCTCCTTACGACGTTCCAATTCAGGAGTAACAACATGCACTCGTCCTGATGGGACACGAGGATCGCTTATTTGTATTATGTGTATACGAGGGCCCGGGTTGGGCCACTTGCGAGTGATGAGCTGAACAAAGAGCACACCACAGGAGAAGATGTCCAGTTTGCTGGTGTATGTCGGGGGATCTGCCATTGCCTCGGGAGACATGTAGGCATTGGTTCCAGGGCAGTAGGTGGGAGTGAGGCGAGGGTCGCTGCCCAACAGCTTGGCCATGCCAAAGTCGGTCACCTTGGCTCGCCGGCTGCCGATCAGGAGAACGTTGTTGCTGCTGAGGTCGCGGTGCAGCACCTCGTGGCGATGGAGGTGGGAGAGAGCCTGTGCCACGTCGTGGCCAATGTCCACCTGCACGTGGAGAGGGAGAGGGGGAGGGTCCGCCGGCCGCTCCAGGAAGCTGGTCAGGCTCTCGTCCATCAGCTCCATGACTGAACAGGACGGGCATTCGAGTCTCGGGGTCCGCACACGAGCCCAGGTACTGGATGATGTTGGGGTGCCTCAGGCCGCTCAGGAAGTCGATCTCTCGCTGGAAGCGCTCCACGATGCGGTGGGCGGCGGGGTCCCTGGTCTGGAAGAGGATGGGGTGCAGGACTTTGGCGGCGCAGACGAGCTGGTCACACTTGACCCTGTACACTGCTCCGTACGAGCCGTTCCCCAGCGAGTTCGCCTCCGACTTGACCAGTCGGACGTTGCGGAAGCCGAAGCGACCCTGCATGCGTATAGCTGCTGCGCCATTATTTGGAGCTAACTCGACGGTCTCGCCAATCCGCCCCCCGCTCTTTTGCTCTCTCATTACGCGCACGTGCACATTGTGCCCGGAAAACGAATGCCTACATGTCTCCCGAGACTCGAATGCCCGTCCTCTATTGAACTCAGAACCCAATCTCGAGATGGAGAGCTCAGAACCCAATCTCATCTATTGAGACGGAGAACTCAGAATCCAATCTCGGATGGAGAACTCAGAACCCAATCTGGAGAACTCAGAACCCAATCTCATCTATTGACACGGAGGTCAGAACCCAACCTCAAGCCCTGCCTTCAAGGACAAAATCTTGGCCGTCAGAAATTTCGTCAAAGACCCCGTCGATGACTTTGACTGTGCTATTGATTCGGATGGTCACGGCTCGCTCTGTGCCGGTATAGCAGCGGGCTCTTCGTTCTATTGCCCAATTAACCAGGGTGATCCCCGCTCGCCGTGTCTCGAAATTCCCCCCGGGGTTGCCCCTGGAGCAAAACTAATCATCTGCAAGGTGGTGAGTACAACAAGTGGTGACGTCGATAACGAAGCTTTTCTAGGAGCTCTGAAATGGCTAAAGGAGCTACATGGATCTGGTACAAAAATTGATGTCGTTTCAATCTCGCTAGCATCGTCATACTTTTCTCTGGAGAGGGCCCAGGTAATCAGCGACCTCGTCAGCTCGGGGATCGTCGTCGTTTGCTGTGCCTCTAACGTCGGCCGCATGAAGATGCAGCCGATATCGTACCCCGCACGCCTCGGCCACGTCCTCTGTATTGGATCACACGACGACAACGGAAAACCTACCTCGTTTACCCCAGTCGGGCGAGAGCTCGACTTTCTCGCTCCCGGAGAAGATATCTGGGGGCCGGGTCCGGGAACAAATGGTCCGTTCTCCGTCGACTGTGGAAGTGGGACTTCTTGCTCGACCCCCGCCGTTGCTGGACTAATTTGCCTCGCTCTTCACGACATCCGGCGGCGCTGCGAGAAAGATGGGGACGCAGTAGATGTTACTATTGCAGGGAGACCGGTAGCAGACTATGTGTGGAGTGTATGGGTGATGAGAGAGCTCCTGAAGCTGATGAGCTCGTGTCCAGGCCACCATTCAGAGGAGATTGGGTATGGGACCTTACACCCGTACAGACTCCTGGACTGCAACACCGAGGAGATTGTCCGCATTGTCAACGACATTGTTCAGGACGAAGACTGAAAAAACATCATTTTTAGGATTCTTGGATTGCCCATGGTGCAATCGTTGTGCATGTGTGTGAATAAAACACGCTTGCGCTAAGTTATCGACACAGACACAGTCCTACATACACCCTCATGGGCAGCATCCTATCAGCGTAAACCACATATAAACTGGTAAAGGGTATATAGACTACTTTTGGGTCTTTAAATTTCCACTTGTGTCTGTAGAAGTGAAGTGCTATAGCTCTCCACTGCCTAGCTACATACACTGAGGTGGCTCCTGCTGGCTGATCATACGTATATAGACTGTGTGCATAAACAAACTTTAGCAGGCAAGGCTTCTGCTTGTTTGTGTACACTAGTCCTTTAGTCCATTAGCTCCTACATATCTCGGTGGTAGCAGTGCTATGGCTAATTGGCTGTGGCCATGCAGCTGAGTTTGTCCAGGTCCTCTCTTTATATTATGTAGACGTAATGTGCTCCCTTCTTCTGCCGAAATATGTCACCAGTGAAATTCTAAATAACAGATAACAAACTAAACAGCAGCATTACGTAACAGAGTTTTTTCAGTTTCCTGCAACTACAACTAAACTAAGCTACAAAGTTTCTCATGTTCATTTCTTGCACCGTTTCAATGTGTCTTGAGTCTAAAAGACTTCCAGAAGGGTGAAGCGGGTTGCGGGTACATTGGTGGCGTAACTGGCCTCAATATTATTCCTGCCACCGCGATCTTTAATCCCAAAATACTTACCAGTGTCAGCTTTCAAATAGATGTAGTTAGCTCCTTTCCCTATGCCGTCAGAAATGTCTACTTCCACCGTAAACTGGCTATATACATCGATAGAGTCTTTAGCAGCCTCGAGATTATCCACCCCACCTCGATTGATACGGCTGAGGTACTTGTTGTTTCCGTTGTCAGACTTCAAGGATAGCTTGCCGTTATAGAGAATACTGGCGCGAAGAAGGCAGAAATAATCGATTGATACTTTTTCAGCCTCCATGTAGTCGACGCTACCACGTCTGATGCGACTGACAAACTTGCCATTGTTACCCAAAAGGATGTAGATACTGTTAGTACCAAATATGAGACCTGCAGGAACTGTTGAAATGTAGTAGAGATTAATTACATATCCATTAGCTATATAGACAGTTTTAAATGTTAGCTACTCCTTTGCCAATGTTTTGTTCCCTTAGTGTCAGCATGAGCAATTCATTGCCTCGTCTCATTAATGCATGTTTTTTTGCACTTTAGTGTTTTAAAACATGCATTAATGTGTAGCACGAGACGAAGTAATGAATTGCTCATTCACCTAACCTAACACTAGGAAACCCTCGGGGAACGGCGCATGCGCAATGTATTACATTATTACTCCCGCTGTGTATAGATAGTAGCTCGCGGAGTCTAACACGGGCTAGCTACAGTAGTAGATACCATGCGGGAGTCGATACACGACCTTCATTGTGACTTCTTGTGCCTTACACAGAGAGAGCGAACCCGCTGGAGGTAAAGGCTTTTTCGCGCGTGTTTCACGCCATAAACCTCTCGAACGCAGCAATAGTTTCAGAGAAAACAGTAATTTCGACCTAGCTATACCCAACGCGGTATCGTTTGTGGAGCAATTCATTGCTGGCTCGTGAAGTGAGATGTCGCATACCTATACCGACCTGCAGATGAACCTTTGCTTGAGAAGTGTCAAATTTGCTTGATTTGGAGTATTTTTGCTTGAAAATGCTTTGTGTCCATTCAAAATGTATAGGCATGGATGCATCACAGGTTAGCACAAAAAAGAGGGATTTGCCGATTTTTTTTGGAGGGATAGGCAGTATTTCTGTTTGATTATCAAGCAAAAAGCGGGATGGTTGGTAGGTATGATGTTGGGTAACGGACGGACGACAGACAGACAGACAGACACACACACTCGCCCACTATGCCAGAATGGCTCTATACTACAGTACATTAGAACGGCCAAAGTATTATGGGAGGGAGGAAGTATATACACCCTCGCTGCACATGCGCGAGGGTTAATAACTGTATAGCTATATAGCTCACGTTCGATAGTAGCCCCTTGTTCAGTTACTTCTTCCTTCTGATCGTCTTGTTTATACTGTTGTTCCAAATAATTCTGCAGGTCTTATGTGAAAACCAACAACAATAAAACACTAATAATATGAGCAGCATTTGGATGTTGCTATTTCCTTACCTGGTTTTTGCATAGTTGGTCCGGACATACTGTTTTCTGGTCCTGTAGGGCGACGTACCCCATTTTGGCGAGGGTAGCAGAGACCCGGGGAGACGAGGGCTAGTGCTACAAGCACCAGACAGAGGTAGCTCGTGGCTTTAGTCATTGCAGTCAGATGCAAACGGGATGATCCTGAAGTCTGAAGTGAATATCGACGAAGAACTCCTTCTCTCTTGTTTGAATAAACTGGAAAATAGCGCCAGTTTTATAGTCAGTAGAAGCCACAAAGGATATCAGGACTTGTAGGAACTCAATCTGCGCCACAATTGATCAAGCGCGCCGAGTTTCTTGAAAATGGCTCCATCACAGAATACAGCTGCCATGTTCAGCCAAAAACTGCTAACAAACAATTATTTGAGAGTCTGAAAACAGGCCTTGCAAAATGAGCAAGGAACCATTACGAATATTCATCAAAGTAGTCGAGTCCATCTGAAGTCTATCAGCATGATTGCTGCAAAGATTCCATGCTAGAGAACTGATAATTGTCACTGAGAAGTCGGCGATGAGCATGATTGCTTGGGAATCTGCTGGCAGAAAGTTAAAAGGACTGCCAAGAAAGCTAGACAGCTTTATTGATTGAGACTTGTTTTTCATCACAGAATATAGCTGCCATTATTATCAAAGCAGGGGGAAATTATAGCTGGAAAGCTCAGCCAAAAACTGCTAATAAACAATTATGAAAACAGGCCTTGCAAAATGAGCAGGGGACCCATTACGAAAATTCGTCAAAGTAGTCGAGTCCATCTGAAGTCTATCAGAATGATTGCTGCAAAGATTCCATGCAAGAAAACTGATAATCGTCACTGAGATGTCGGAAGTGACAAAAGTAAAAAAGATCAGCATGATTGCTTGGGAATCTACTGGCAGAAGGTTAAAAGGATCACCTAGAAAGCTAGGCAGCTTTATTGATTATTGAGACTTCTTTTTTAATTAGCCCCTGTTGCCCCCACAACAATTAACTTGCTGCCAGTCACAAGCCACGTGCTGGAATGTATATAGCTATATACACAGTCCAACATTGTGTGTGGAGGAATGGAGATGTGCATGTGCCTTTGCATGCTGAGTGAGAGTATACTGTGCCATAGCACAGTGAGTGGTTTGAGGTTTTCCTTGTGTGTTGTAGATTCCAACCCTTACCAGCTGGGTTGCCCTGGTAGCTCAGTTGGTAGAGCGCTCGCCTAGCGTGGGGTCGTGGGTTCGAATCCCACCTAGGGCAGCTCTTTATTTTTCATTGGAAAAAAAGAGCTGTCCTGGGTGTAGTTGATTTTTTTGTTGTGCCTTTGCCTTTGCCTTTCTACCTCGTAGTTTTCGCATGCAGTTATATGTGCTGGTGTTCCTCAGCTTTACATCAGTGACAATATACCGTTTATACCCTATTCTCATTTACCACCCTTGTATAGTAAGCCCTGCATGAAATTTTGCCTAATGTGACAGGAGACAAGGGGCAACTGCAGCGAGCTACAAAATTGAGGAGCTCAGCAATTGAATTAATATTACCCAACAATCACTGTGGGGACCACTACTACTTATGAAGAAAGCACTGGGATGCTTGTCACCATTTCCTAATCCTTTCCTAGTCGTTCGTTCGAGCGGAATTTTCGGATATCGTTGGTACGTCGTGTAAGTGCGCATGCGCGGCTTCTTACGCGCTTCTTTTTATCCGAAAACATTTTCAAATTTTTACACAGACACGCTGCCTCGCCGATCGATCTATATAGCCAGCCAGAGAATTCTTCTCCATTCGACGGCAAGCGATGCAACCTTCGGTGACTGACCGAGGCTGTATATACCTCTTCCCAATCTTCATGGTTCGAAGGTGCAACTTCAAGGTTAGCAACGATTGTGTGTGGGCGTATGTTTCAGATATTTTTTCAATGGCACAGCAAGAACGCTGGTGATTTATGGTGAATTTAGGTATATTTCTCGGATTTTTCCTACCTTGTTTTCTAAACTCATTAGCATATTCATATTCCTCCTCAATACATTCTCTATGGGAGAGAAAACCCGTTCGCGACTCACCCAGGAGCGAACGGTCCGTCCCATTATGCGCAATGGCGTTCTTTCTGCCTCCTGCGACACGCGCAGGCGTATTAGAGCCATCCCGAAAAATAGGCGTGGCTAAGTTTTGAGCATTACGTTTTTACGTTGACCTTTGCCACCCGGTCACGCCCGTTTTTTTCTATAGCGCCAGCTTCCCTCATACCGCGACCGCGACCGAAGCATGAGGCAAAGAAAGCCACTGCGCATAATGGAGACGGACCGTTCGCTCCTGGGTGAGTCGCGCACGAGTTTTCTCTCCCATAGAGAATGTATTGAGGAGGAATATGAATATGCTAATAAGTTTGAAAAACAAGGTAAGAAAAATCCGAGAAATAATATACCAAAATTCACCATAAATCACCAACGTTTTTTCTGTGCCAGAAAAATATCTGATACATACGCCCACGAACAATCGTTGCTAATCTTTCAATTGGCGAGCGGGAGCGAGCCAACCTAGTCGTTCGTTCGAGCGGAATTTTCTATATATAATTATATATAATATTATATATATTATCTACGAACCGACCGTCGTCGTATATACGTCGTACGTCGTGTAAGTGCGCATGCGCGTCTTTGAACGCGCTTCTTTTTATCCGAAACTATTTCCAAATTTTTACACATTTTCACACACGGTGCCGTGCCTCGCCGATCGGTCTATATAGCCAGCTAGAGAACTCTCCTCCATTCGACGGCATGCGCTGCAACCTTCGGTGACTGACCGAGGCTGTAAGCTTACCTC